TTTAAAATTTAAGTTGCTTTTGTTTCGTACCCAGGGCCTGGTCAAGGAAAGAGAATCAACTGCTCTCTGAATGTATACTAGACATATCTTGGAAGGTAATTTCTTGGGGAAGGGGGAACATTTAAAAGTCAAATGCAAATTTCTTAACCTACTAGAGTTTGAATTCTGGGTACCCCAACCCCTTCATTTTTGCAGCCCAAGCCTAACCGGCAGTGTCACCAGGGCTCATTAATAACTAGCCAGCAGCTAACAACAACACAAAAAGCTCAACGTCTTCGGGTTCTCTTTTGCTTTACAAATTCTTACTCCTCACAGGTCCCCCATGCGAACATGGTTGATGGCTTCGGGGACTGACACATGGGAGACTTCCACAGAACTATTAATGCTATCGGAGTCTACATTTCTCAGACTATTTGAGTCAAGCTCATGTGTCAGCCTACATCTCTAAGTCAGTTTAGGCAGAAGACAGGTCTGAAGCTCCATCTCCAATCAGTGCACAACCATTCCATCTGCCTATCAAACCTGTTACTCCGGGATCACATCCAGCTCTTTGAATGGCACCATCATCCATCCAGTCCCTCACACCAATGCCTTGCTTTTGTCTCCCATTCTTAATCCAATCCATCTTGTTAACACAACTTCCCAAACTGTCCCCAAACTGACCTCATCTTACCATTTCCACTATTAACCCTCTGGTCCTAGCCACCATCACTTCTCTCCTGGACAACCATGACAACCTCCCACCTCCACTTCCCGCGCTGGGTCTAAAGTGAGTCTCTTAAAGATGTATGTAAGTCACGTGATGTTACTCCCCTAGCACAAACCACCTCGTGGCCTCCCATTGTTCTGACTCCTGACCATAGTAATGAACGGACAAACTCCTTACCACAGTCTGTAAGACCCTGCATGGCTGAGACCGGTGATTCTCAACCCAGGCAGTGCCATGGATTTCTCTGAGGACCTTTTATAAAATGCCAATGTGCAGGCCACACCCCAGACCAATTAAACCATAATGCCTGGGGGTGGGGCCCTGGCATGAGGCATTTCTTTTAAGTTCCACAGATAACTCTAATGGGTAGTGCAAAAAAGAACCACTGAGCTAGGCCTTGCCTCATCTGTCAACCTCCCCGCTCATTCACCCAGGTCTGGTCACATTCCCAGCCTTTGCTCCATCTCTGGAATGCTTCCAACGCTGTACTCTTCCTTTGCCGTTTCCTTTCTTGGACTGGTTTCTCCCCAAATCTCCACTGATCCCTCAGCTCTCAGTTCAAATGCCCCCTTGCACCCCTTTCCTAAAGCATGACGTTCCAGTTCTTCCCTGAGCAGGCCTCATCTCATTACCCCATTTTCTTTGTAGTGATTATCACTAGCTAATCAGTCTTGGAAGAAGTACACTTCAGAATGCTCCTTAGAAGCAAGAAAGGAGAGATCACGTCTCACGTACTGTGAACATGTTATCAAGAGGGACCAGTGCCCTGAAAGGGCATCATATGCTTGGTGAAGTGGAGGGACAGCCAAGGAGAGGACTGCCAACAAGACGAACTGACATGGTGGCCGCAACAAGGATCTCAAACATAACAATTGTGAGGGTGTTGTAGGACCAGACAATGTTTCCTTTTGTTGTGCATGTCGGCTTTATGAGTCGAAGCCAACTTGCTAGCATATAACAACAACA